CCCCAAAACCCCAAAACCCCAAAACCCCAAAACCCCAAAACCCCATATAATTTTTTATAAATTGAAATTTATGGGAGAGGATACCTCAAAGAAAAGTGACAAAGCTCCATTAGTCAGTGCTTGAGCAGGGATCTTAGGATCCACTGCTGGAAAAGCAGTCACTCATCCAATAGATACTATTAAGGCTCGGATCCAGGTTATTCCTGGAGCTACGATCCAGGTTGGAAAAGGCTCTCTTATCATGAACTCTATAAAGGAAGTTATTAAGAACGAAGGAGTGGCTGGACTTTATAAAGGTCTTCCTACAGCTTTGATAGGAGGTATCCCTGCAGCATTTCTATATTTTGGAGCCTATGAATTTTGGAAGAAAAATACCCTTGAAGTTGAATATCTTAAAAATCATTCATTTATTGCATATCTTAGTGGAGGAATGTTTGCAGAAACTGTTGCATGTATATTATTTGTTCCTACAGATGTCCTCAAAGAAAGACTGCAAGTCCAGAGTAAGCTCAGGACGTACAAATACTCTTCAGATCTGAATGCGCTTGCTCAGATCTTTAAGAATGAGGGATTTCGAGGTCTCTATAAAGCATATCCTGCAACAGTATTTAGCTTCGGTCCATTTTCAGCATTTTATTTCATGTTCTATGAGCAACTAAAGGGAATGGTTGTGAAGAACGATGCTGATACATACCTCCAGAAAGTAAAAGAGTCAACACATGTCAAAATTGGTTTCTTCCAAAGCATGTTCTGCTCTATGATAGCTGGAGCAGGAGCTTCTTTAATCACAAATCCTCTTGATTTAGTGAAACTGAGGCTCCAAGTTCAAAGAGGAAGCAGTAGCTCTGGCAAAAACGTAAGCGAGTTTGTCTACAAGCATATGCTTGATGGGCTTATCCAAGTTGTTAAAAAGGAAGGACTTCTTGCTCTTTGGAATGGATCCTTTGCCAGAATGTGAACTCATTTCCCAACTGTAGCAATAAGTATGAGTATCATTGAGGTATCTAAACCACATATCGAGAAAATATTGGTATAATCATTAAAGAATTCTCATTCTAAATTTTCTGAAAAGGGGTTTTGGGGTTTTGGGGTTTTGGGGTTTTGGGG